CAACACTCTGATTGGTCACGGCGACCAGGAAGTCCCGGAAAAAGAGCTGCTATCGGAGACCCGGACACAAGTGAGAGCCAGCGGGGCGGAGAGGAGGTGACAGCTGCCGTCGTAGCCCCGCCCATTGAGAAAGTTGAGGGGGAGGACTTGAAAGATCAAGATCCTGAAATACCGGCGTCCGCCAGGGGCGGGGCTCCGACTCTTTATGCCCAAAGGGCCACGCCCACAGCCGTTGCTTAGCAACCTCACAAGTAAGGCTCAGACTTGGAGGACCTGAGAGAGATTGTTGGGATGGAAGTACGTAGTGTGTCCTGCTCGGACCATCGGAATTGAACCGCCTCTAGTGCATCAGGATGAAAACAAGTTCAGCAGAACATGAGTGGTTCGCACCGCCGTCCTCGGCTCACAGACCTAGCAGATGAACCATTCAAAGCGACCAATGGTGGACAGCAAGGCCGAGTTAAGGGCTTTCCTGTGCTCTCGTCACTCTGTTCCTTCTCCTGCTCCCTCCAGGTTCGAGTCTCTTCCCTTGGAGGATGGCGTGGGATTTTGCCGCTGGATAACATATTCAGTAAGTGAGTGTCCCTACATGCAGGCCAGAGGCCCTGGTACCATTCTGATCTCTCTTCCCCTTACTGGTCCTGCTGGAGCCACACTGGCTTCCTCCTCACGGTTCAGACATGCTCCCAACTTAGGGATTTACACTTGCTCTTGCTTTTTTAAAATTATTATTATTAAGTTAAAACTTCCCTAAGCTAAATAAACAGAAATATCAAGAGACAATTTTTACCTTGTAATGGAGAAAAAGACTGGCAAGCTCTATTCCATGCTTAAGTGTTAAGGTTCTTATTTTTCAAATAATTTCTTAAAACGCAATGTAGCTAAAGTTTAATGACAAGTCCTGTTATTTCTTGCCATATGTATTACATGCAAGGGTATTTACAATACTGAAGCGGCTGACACGTGTTTGTTGTCAAAGTGTAATTTGGGAGGGTTTTTTAAAACATTTTAAATGGTTGAAAAATAATCTAAAGAATATGAAAGTTCGTATGATTATAAGAAATTCAAATGTTAATGTCCATAAAATTTTGTCGTACAGCCATGTTCACTGGTTTATGGACTGTCTGTGGCCGCTTTTGTGCCACATGGCAGGTTAGTAGTGTCAGCAGAGGCCGTGTGGCCTGCAAAGCCTTAATTACTTACTTCCCGGACTTTGAGACTTTGACGGGTAAAGGTTGCCGCTTCTTGCATGCAGGCTGCTGGGAAGTGGCTCACCTCCTCCTGTTTGCCTGTCACTGTCACACACTGTTGGTCACTCCTGGGTGTCTGATGTGACGCATATTTCCACACATATGCACACTGTTTATGAGGCTTTGGGATACTCTTTTCAATATCTATAAAATATTTTTGACCTAAAAGGCCTGTACTACTACACAGTGCCAGGAGCTAGAGAAGGGTGAGTTTTGCTGCAATCAGGGACAAGTGTTTTGTGAAAGGCCCATGTTTTCCCTGCTACCCCATAAATGAACATATTTTTTTCTTTTTTTAAAAAATATTTTTATTGATTTCAGAGAGGAATAGAGAGGGAGAGAGAGCTAGAAATATCAATGATGAGAGAGAACCATCGATAGGCTGCCTCCTGCACGCCTCCCACTGGGGATTGAACCCACAACCCAGACATGTGCCCTTGACCACAGTCGAACCTGAGACCTTTCAGTCCGCAGGCCAACGCTTTATCCACTGAGCCAAACCGGTTAGGGCTATATTTTTTTCTTACAAACTGCAATCCCTGTATATGGGAGTTCAGTATGAGACTAGGTATTGGAACTAAAACAAAACAAAAAACAATTATTTTATTCCTTACACCAAAAGAATTTCCATTTTGATCACAATTTTATGTTTGGGGTGATAAAGATTTTTATTTTTTTATTTTTTTTTAAATATATTTTATTGATTTTTTACAGAGAAGAAGGGAGAGAGATAGAGAGTTAGAAACATCAATGAGCTGCCTCCTGCACATCTCCCACTGGGGATGTGCTACGCAACCCAGGTACATGCCCTTGACCGGAATCGAACCTGGGACCCTTCAGTCCGCAGACTGACGCTCTATCCACTGAGCCAAACCGGTTTCGGCTGGGGTGATAAAGATTTTTAAAAGAAAAACCAAAAGTCAAATACCATAAGGGAAAAAGATGGTAGGCTTGACAGCATAAAACTGAAAACACCAACAAAGAAAACCACTCTAAACTTTCTGTTGAAAGACAAAGGAAAAAAAAAATATTGGCAAAGTTTATGACAAATTAATACCCCTTGTCTTTACAAGTAAACTAGCAAAAGGCACATATATTAGAAAAAAGGCCAAGGTCACCAGGGTTCATCAATTTATTTTTTTATCCTCACCTGAGGATATTTTTTTTATTGATTTTTTAGAGAGAGAAAAATCAATGTGAGAGGAAAACATCGAGAGCTCTGACCAGGGATCAAACATGCGATTTTGTGTGTGTGTGTGTGTGTGTGTGTGTGTGTGTGTGTACTGGACGATGCTCTAAAGCCAAGTTTGATTAATTTCGTAACTCAACAAAATCATCATGGACTCAGGCTCAAAATAGGCTGCCAATGGCATTCTAGGCAGACCCTGAGGTGGGAACAGATATGGCATGCCTAAGGAGCTTTGGTGACTTGGGGAGTGGAAAGCCAACACCCCTGAGGGGGGTGCAGGAAAGTGGGCACACTACCTTAGTGCTGGTGGGAGTGTGAGTTGCCCCACCACTTTGGAGAGCAACTGGGCAAAATCTATTGGACATTTCGCAGGCGTAAAAGACACGGCCATAGTACAACACACTGAAAATAGTCTACGTTTCCATCAACAGAATAGCTTTCTTAAAAACCTGGGCAGTTTTACAAAACATCTATCTGAACTGTCATAGAGAACTTTCTAAGGCAGTGGTTCTCAACCTTCTGGCCCTTTAAATACAGTTCCTCATGTTGGGACCGAACCATAAAATTATTTTCGTTGCTACTTCATAACTGTAATGTTGCTACTGTTATGAATCGTCATGTAAATATCTGATATGCAGGATGGTCTTAGGCGACCCCTGTGAAAGGGTCGTTCGACCGCCAAAGGGGTTGCGACCCACAGGCTGAGAACCGCTGTTCTAAGGCATCATAAGGGCCAAAAAGAAGTGACAAAACAATACATACAGGTCAATACTATTTAAAGAAATCTCACATGCTAAAGGCAAAAATGCTGTTTTCTAGAAGTAGATGGATATGAATGTAAATGGAAAGGAAGAAGACTAGAAAGATGTTACCAAACTGGTATTAGTAGTGGAATTTCACCTTATATTATTTATGTGAATGAACTCATTTAATTTGTGTAAGTTAACAGTTTTTAGAGATAATACAGGGCTCAAACCCAACCCCTGGGGTAGTGAAGCCTGGAGCCTAAGAATTAGGAGTTGCAAGCACAGGGCATTTGCCTGGCAGGCTTGGTGGTGAGGGCAAAGGGGAAATGGGGCAGAGCACAGGTAGGGGTAAGCCCGTGTGTTTGGAATTTTTGAAACACCTTTGAAATACTTTTGGATCAGAGAAGAAGTCATCACGGTAATTAGGGAATGTTGAGACCTGAAAAACACAAAATACTGTACTCCATATCAGGCCTGTGTGATGCAGTGAAATGACACTTTAATGGATGTTGACAGCTTTAAAGTGCTCACACCGAAGGAGAACTTGGAGATGGATTAGTGACCTATGCATAGGAAAATGAGCAAATAAGACAACTTCAGGGACAGTCAAAAGCTGTACAAGAAAGAAAAATACTAGAATGCCACATGAGTCAGCCTGGCTAGCATCTCATGATAATCCAAACACCGGACATGGATCCTCTAGATTTGCAAGATGAGCTTAGAGGATTTTTTCCTTTATTCACTGCTCGAGAGCCTGGGATGTCGAAGGCACTCAATAACTATTGTCCAGTGAATAAGTCTAACCAAAAGCATGATGTAACTACATCAGAAGGGTGCAAGGACAGAACCTGTGAACATATACATAGTGTAGAGGGGTAAAGGAGTTCGGTCCTTAAATGTATAGCTGGTAAAAATAGGTAATAAATACCTAAAACTGAAGATCTATGAAATAGCAACAGAAGCATGTGATTTGGAAATAGATGATAAATACTAAGAGCAAAATAAAACAAAAAATAGCAAAAGATTTGGAATTGGCTATCTCAGGGAAAAGAGAAATGAGCAGGTTGCTTAAAAAAAAAAAAAAGCCTTAGAACATCATTCAGTTGTTCCTCTATGGGCATGTGTAGCAGATTGCATGGTGGCCCCCAAGAAGCTGTGTCTATACCCTAATGAACCTATGAACGTGCAGTTTTTTTGAAAAGTGTCTTTGCAGATGTAATTAAGGGCCTTGAGATCATTCTGGGTGGGCTGCAGATCAAATGAGTAGTGTTCTTATGACACAGAAGAGAGACAGAGTAAGGAAAGCCATGTGAAGACAGAAGCAGAGGTTAGAGTTTTGGAACCATAGCCAAGAAATGCCTGGAGCCCCAAACTAGCTGGTTTGGCTCAGTGGATAGAGCACTGGTCTGAGGGGCAGACCGAAGGGTCCCAGGTTTGATTCAGATCTCAAGTTAGCTACCTCCATTGTAGGCTCCTCCCCCACCAGGGCCCTCGGGGCACATGCAGGAAGCAACCAATCTCACATCGGTATTTTTCTCTATCTTTCCCTCTCTCTGGAAATCAAAAATCAACGGAAAAAAAATTTCCTCGGGTGAGGATTTAAAAAAAAAAAAAGCCTAGAGCCACCTGAAGCTGGAAGAGGCAAGGATTTTCCCCTCAAGCCCTCAAAGGGAGGGTGGGACTATGGGTGCCTTGATTTGGGGCCTCCAGAGCTGCCCAGGTAAACTCCTGTTGTTTTAGATCGCCAAGTTGGTGGCATTTTGTTACTCTAGCTCTGGGAATTCTGGGAATCGAATACAGCACGAAAAGCTGAGGTAAAATAAAGATTAGAACATTTATTGATGTATTTCATCACATTGATTGAAAGAGCAAATAATTAATACAGAAAAAACATTTGATGAAAGTCAACACCCGATACAAAACAACCAAACCCTTTGCAAAGTAGAAAGAGAATAGTCCTACCTTAACCTGATAAAGGTTTGTAAGCTATACTTAGTAAAAGCAAAAACGAAATCTTGCTCCACTTCTGTGATGTGTGTGTGTGTGTGTATATACATCATATATACATAATCAATGTGCTTGCTGTCAAAAGGCAGCATTACACCACTACTCCATTAAATGCGGAGTTTTAAAACTGGGCTACCCCACTCGCTAGTTGTGTGACTTTGGGCAGATCATGTGTCTCAGTTGCCTTGACTGCCAAATGAGGGTAAACCTACCGTAAACATCATCCTTAACAGTGAAACCTTAGTCAGGAATGAGACACCATCAGTGCTGCTTCTCTTTGCTCTCGTACTAGATCCTGACCAGAGCAGGAAAACACCACTGCTAGGGACAGCACTGTCCAGTGGCTCCTAGGTTGGCAAGGGGCTGAACCAGAGGAAGACTAGAGGTCAGACAATTGAGAGTGAGAAGTAAGAGGTGGGCAGAGGTCAGGCTTAGCAGAGTACAGCCGAGGTCCCAGCACCCGGAGACCCTGGGAGTCAGAGCAGAGGAGAGAAAAGACGGGACAAGGTGGCTGGGAGCTGACCAGGTTGGTATCAGAGCTGAGGGCAGGGTGCTACCCGGGGCAGTAACCCAGTACCCATCCTTGGCATCCCTGGGCAACTGTTCCCACAGGGGACAGCTTCATCCCCAGCAAAGTCTCCACCTATAACACCTGCACTCGTCATTACAAAAAGCTACAGCCTTTATTAAATAAAAAGGAGGCAGGAGACAGATAAGGAAACAATCCAGAGACCCCTCCTTCCAACCACACATACTATATACAGACATACAAACAGACGCAGCTGAGGAAAGGACAGACGATTCAGTGGACGGACTGAAGGGCCGAGGGGGGCAATACCCTCCGAGAGTGGGCCCGGACCCAAGGGTGGGCCGAGACCTGGGCCAGAGGCAGACGGTCTGAGGGGTTATGTTTGAGCAGCTTGGAGATGAGGTCCTGGGCTCCCACGGGCACAGAAGGGGGGAACTTCAGGTCCACCTGCAGAGGTAGAGAAAGGAGAAGGAAGGACCCGTTGGTTTCATCCTGGCTGCTTTTCCCCTGACTGCTCATTCTATTTGGAGGGCTAGGCCCCACAACTACTAGTACGTTCTTCACACTCCCAGCCCGACCCCGGGTCAGCCCCCGCACCTTGACGATGCGCCGATAGGTTTCATTGTGTGAAGCGCTCTCAAAGGGGGGGTTTCCCACCAGCAGCTCGTAGCAGAGCACCCCGATGCACCACAGATCCACCTTCTCATTGTGGGTGCGCCCCTCAATCATCTCTGGAGGCAGGTAGTCCAGGGTGCCACACATGGTCTTCCTCCTGGGGGAGGGGGGCAGTGGGCAGGGATCCCAGAACAAATGGCCTCTCCTTTCCTAGTTGCCTGACAACAGTGAGCCAAGACCCCAGGGTGCACAGGGATGCAACAGACCCTGGTCCGACAGGGCTTGTGGGGTAGCAGTGGGTGAAGCCATAAACCAAAGCCCCAGAGCTGGGTTTGTACCCTGCTCAGCATTTCCAAACTGAGGGACGTGTCTTAAAATAATCGGGTGAGAGGGCAACGCTCACCTTAGAATTAAAGGAAAAATTGGAGACAACTTTCATGCCCATCAAGCATGTCCTACTGAAATAAATCACATTATAGCTCCACTCTGCTATAGTAGGAAGCCATTAAAAATGATATGGGAGCCCTGACCGGTTTGGCTCAGTGGATAGAGCGTCGGCCTGCGAACTGAGGGGTCCCGGGTTCGATTCCGGTCAAGGGCATGTACCTTGGTTGTGGGCACATCTCCAGTAGGGTGTGTGCAGGAGGCAGCTGATCGATGTTTCTCTCTCATCGATGTTTCTGACTCTCTATCCCTCTCCCTTCCTCTCTGTAAAAAAATCAATAAAATATATATATTAAAAAAAATGATATGGGAATATTACCATGGCAAGAGGGCCCCAATATATTGAATAAGAAATCTGGGAATAAGAAATCTGGGCAACAAAACCGAGCCTCCTGTTTCTATAAAGATATTGCTATGTCTGTCTATATATTTACACGAGGACAAACCCCAATGTTCCTAGGTAACAAGATCCGAACCTCCTGGCCTCACCCGGGGCTGGCCCCCCGGCACAACATACCTCAGGGAGGGGGCGTGTACAGACCAACCAAAGTCCGCAATCTTCAGCTCCCCCTGGAGCCCCAGGAGCAGGTTCTCCGGCTTTATGTCTCTGTGAATTACCTTCTTCTGTGGCAGTACATCAGCGCGTCCGCCAGCTCCTCCATGATCTGGGAAGGCCAATGACAGGCGGTCAGACCGGGACAGACCTCCAGCTGCCAGCAGCACCCGCCCTGCCCCCAGCCTCAGGCCCACTGTGGGCGTCCCAGGTGCCCACCCCTTCCCAACCGTGGCTGTTCGCTGCTGGTCAAAAGTGCGGCTCTTCTGCAGCTCCTTGTAGAGCTCCCCGCGGGGGGCATACTCCAGAATCAGGTAGATCCTTCGCCGGTCATAGAAATAGTTGTAGAGACGCAAGATGTTGGGATGCCTGGGAGGAGAGACATAGAGGCCTCAGGCCACATCCAGGCATAAGGAAATGGGGATGATGACAGGTCCCGTACAGGTCAGAGTTGGACCAGGCTGGGGACACCAGGGCTGGAAGTGGCAAGGGAGAACTGGAGACAGGTCTCTGGGTTCAAGGCTCTGGCTGCAGTCGAGGGCTCAGTGGGGCTACGACGGTCTGGATGAGGTGGGGCCAGGAGGAGGGGGG